AAAGTTTTACACGTTTACCTAGTCGAAATTTCAAGTCTCCACGAATATTTTTAACTGAATTACGATAAAAGCTACTTGGAAAATTAAAAAACAACAAACTAATTTACTAAAAAGATTTAAAATCCAACCAAAAAAGTTCTTTCGTCGTTTTCGATCGGAACAATATTGCTGGTAGAAAAGAGAAAGCGTACAAATTAAAAATAATTTCATTTTCATTTGATTATTTTTCCTATGTTCTTCACCCTCATTCTCATGTAGTTAACAAGAAATATTTCAGTCTGATAGACTTGATTGAAAATGGTTTTTGTTTGTAAAAAGATAAGCATTAAACTACAAATTGTAAGCCTATTTTTAAAACGTTAACCATTGCAATGTGCTCATCAACTCACATTTTCATACCAAATTCAAATAGACGTAATTTTTTTGTTAACCTACTTTGACTAATAATCTGTTTAAAAGATTTTAAACGAATATGTTATTATAGAGCGTAGGTATGTGTAATTTTACGTTTATAATTAATCTTGATTCCACTCTACCCTACCCGAGCAATGAAAATACTTCACTTTTAATATCGTTCGTAGAAAATATACAGACTATTCGAATGTGAAAACAGTATAGACGCGTTTCCATTTATGAAATTCTAATTTTCTGATCTTCCTCGCGGGGGAAAAAAAATTCAATAAAAATTCCTCGTTTCAATCTACGTTCGTCCGATTGAAACATTTCGCGATAATATTGTAATTTAATCGAAACCCGCCGTACCTGTATATTATAATAGACAGTATATGCGGTATTTTAAAGCGATCAGAATAAATAATTTCGGATTTGTAAATCCGATTGTTCAATTAAATGACTGATGGTTTATGAAATGTCCCGCGATCGGTTCGAAGCGTATTAATTAGATCATATTATCATCATTATTAGTAACAATTATTATTATTATAACGCCAACCGCGACCGCTGCCGCAGTAGTATCATAATTATTGTCGACGGGGACGAACGGGGCCTTCGAAATCGCGGTCCCGCCGAAATAAAACTAAACTAATTATAATACTGTGCGTATTTTCGAAACAGACCTGTGCGTTGCCGCGGCTAAACCGTACGGTGCTGGTAATGGCGATGATTGTAACAATATCATCGAACCGACTGTATGATCGTCATGACTGTTGTGATCGTACCGCGAGCAGACGCGCGCCCGATAAACGTCGATCGATCGTGAAAATTCGACCGGACGGCGAAAGAAAAACGGTTTATACCGCTAAGAAAACAAACGGTTCTTATCGGTAGCCGCGCACTTGGAATAAACAACACAGTTACCCTACTGGAGAATATAAATGGCTAACAGTGATTTTTAGCAGTAAGTTGTTAGTGTGCAACTGCTACCATTGATTAATCAATGCCACTACTATTATAGCCATGACCGGGGACTACCACAGATTCGAGGAAATGTTGAAATAAAATATTGTATTGTACCCTCGTTAAATCGTCAAAGCCTACGTGTAATAAACATTAAAACGGTTAGCCATCTCTTGTAAGATAACTGCGTCGTTTATTCCAGGTAGGCAGGTACTGATAAAAATCGTTTAGTTTATTAGTGATATAAATCGGTATTTTTTTTTTTTACCATCTGGTGAAATTCGATTTAACAAACAATATTTTATTCGCGTTACGTTGGATTATTTCGAAATTTCAATGTCAGCCGTTACACGCGATATTGATTTACCCGTGATGAAATAAAATATAAAAATACCCAAATGACTTTTGCACGGTATTGTTTCGATTGAAAATCACGTCCTTGTCTGTATCACTGTCGCACTTGTATCGACAGTATTATTTTAATTCGGTAAGAATCGTGATATTATTATTGTACCCGCTATTAACAATTTATTATCACGCAATAAATGAACGCCTCATCATCCGTCTCACCAATCAATAGTTTACTATATACCCTTAGAGATAACAGAAGAAAATTTGCTTTCTGGAGCATGGTTTTCATCACTTCAACATATTTAATTCGAGTTCGATTACATAACGAAATATAAGCAACGTTGTCCGGATTTTTTTTTCGCAATGATGAAAGAAATGACAAGAAACGATGTAAAAGGGTAAAAATCCCATTCATAGATAGAGAACGGTAGAGTGAACCCTGTCAGCACGGTCTTCAAGGCCGTATAGATAAGAGAAGAATAAGAAAACGTGCGGTTTAAATTAAATATAATTTGTCGTATGACGATATTTTAAATCGTGCTGTACTCGCAGAGCACGTCAAACACGAAGAAAATGTACAAAGTTACAACATTAATTTAGTCTTATGTCGACGAAATTAAATTACTTTCGAGACCGCGTTTAATGTAAATTATACATTTATATATATATAAATATATCCGCGTCAACCATCAATTAATATAACTCAAAGTTTTTAAGAAATTATACAACCTCATTTACACTTTGTGACATTGAAATTCGTTTTGAATAACGTAAAGTACTATAAGTTACTAATAAGTATAATGTATAATTGTGTAACATAATATTTTATATGAAATCGAAAATTTCATTAGGCTTATTATTTGTGCAAAGATTTTAGTTTAATATTTCAGTGCCGCTAAAAAAAAAATATTTATGTAGTTGACCTGCCTATATGATTATGCCTACACATAATTCAAAACATTATAAAACTATTATATTTTTTCAAGCCGCACCGTGGAGCTATGGAGTGGGGAACGTAACGTGTCGTCGGGCACATATATATATTAAAAAAAAAAAAATTAAACATTTTGACGAAATCCCATTCTGCGAACGTACAAATATCCCGGTTTCTAAATGTGTTTTAACCAATAAACTATAATAACTTCATTTACAACTTTGAAAATATTCCTAGTATATTATATTCAGGCGTGGAGAGAACAAGAGGAGGCTATGTGACCGATTCTTCCACGGCGTGTAGATGCTTTCATAAATGGGACGTATACTAAATTTTAACTTTTATGAAAACTACATTTTTAACGCGTACGAATACGGTTGATAAGCTATTCCTCTTATATCAATTCTAATTATTTTATACGACCGAGCAACCGAAAGAAATTAAATATTTTAATTTGTGTACAGTTGATCGGACATTTTTAAAATACTCATATTTAAATTGAGATTGACAATGACCACCGTAACTATGCACTAGTTACTTACTATGCAGTTTATACGGACGGGGGAACGGGCGCAACGTGGATATAAGGTGTTCCGGACTTATAATATACCTAAAAGTATCTATCGAAATATCAACACATATGACCGCAACATAAAAATAGCCGTAAATTTCTGTTTATCAAACAACACTCTGAACCATGCCACATAGCTGGTCTCACCACACTCGTTTAAAACTCACTTTTAAATAATATCATTTTGTCACATACAAAATCTGACTATTCTTTCTCAATAAATCATATTCTAGTAAAAGCAAAAACAATAGATTCTTCGTTTTGTTCATAGTTAAAAATATTTTTAAAAAAATGTGGGTACAGATTTCTCTACCTTGAAAAATAATACGTTCCGTCGATATTTCGGAAAATCATACAAAATGAGCAATTTGAAGCGACACAGTATAACTGATAAGGATATGTAAAAAAAAGAACCGATACTAAAATATTGGGAATATAATGACGTGTCCTTTGAAATTTAAATTAAAGTAAATTCACGTGGAATATTATATGCGTGTTTACTTTATAACATAGGTATCGATAATCCGTAAATTGATATTCCATTTGGTAAAATCAAAAACAAGTATAATGTTATTAATAATCATTAGTTTTATCTTATCAAATATATTATCAATTATTATCAACATGAGATAATAGTATTTTGTCATAGTCGGAAAAGTTTGAAGAAAAACGAAAGTATCAGACAATTGTTGTAGGTATACTAATGCATTGTAACATCCACTAACTCCCATCGTCGATTATTGTGCCATCTCAATTTAAGAAGCAGCGATCCATCAAAATGACTGAAATTCACGTATACAAGTAGGTATCATAACTATACGCCCGTGTACCGTGGAAGTTTTTTTCATTCTTTACATATTTTGTTTTTTTCTGAAAGACTGAACACACGCGTTCTTGAGAAACTCGCAGACTAAATTATCTCGTATAGGTACATTTTAACACACGCTTTTGAACTTTATCAAATATTATTTACTATATTAAAATTTCTACACATATTCTTTCAACATTGTTAATGGATTTACCGTCCAAATTGCTTCCCGAACTTGACCAAGCAACAACCAAACCACGCACGGTCACAAAGTGGGCTTACCCAACTTGTTTTCGTAATCGTATGGGACTATACGTAAGAAATATAATAATATTTGGGCGATTAAACATGTCAATGTAAAGGCCGATAACCGCGCGATAGTTCGACCGGTTCTCGTATTTTACACCTGAAGAATCGTGTGTATTATCGTAATAGATATATATTAATATCGACATGAAAATTAATCAAAAAAAAAAATCGATTAATGACGGAGTAATAAAACCAACATCATAATGACGTAATAAATTTAATCTTATCCTACAATTGAAAAAAAAAAAAATCGTCGTTTACTGATAATATTATAACATTACGCTACAATCGACCGAATATTATTTCTCCGATTTCCGAATTGATGACGATTCGTCGTTAAACTTAAAATAGTTCGCTTTAATTCGATTTTTTTTTTTTTGATTTTTTTTCGTACCGTCTGTCGGTAAAATATAACGAATTGACGACCCCCGGCATGTAATTAATACGTTTTCTCCGAGGGCTCTCTGGCCCCGCGATCCGTACAAATCATTCCGGGAGACGAAACGGCGCGGTCTTAAATACGACGTGTGAACAAACGGCGCCGCGCCGCACTTCCGCCGCGTTTCGATGTTTCGGCTGTACGGAAACAATAACAACGGCAACAGTGTTGTTGATTTTAAAGAGGTCGCGTTAACGCCGCGTCGGCAATAAACAGTCCGGTCGAGAGCGCGGTCCTACACCCGTCGGTACGCCTGCCGCGACAATCCGCAGACGACCGCGGCTGCCATGTGCGCACGGCACGCCGTTTTCGGTTTGCTGGCGCTCGTCGTCCTCGCGCCCGCAACATCGGCCGCCGACAGACCCCCGAGCCGTCTCGACCTGAGGGACGTGCTGAACCAGCTGCGCGGGGCCCCGGATATCGTCGCCGTCGGCCCGGCCGGAAAAGCCGACAGGGCGGTCAAGTCGTACCTGGACAAATTGCAGGCCAGATACGCCGCGGTCCTGGACCGGCCTTGGGACGCCAGGTACGCCAGTCACACGAACGTGAGACGATGGAAGAAGTCATGAGCACCGGGGCGATACGCGCCGTTCCGCGGTCCTCCGCGCAGTTTCGATCGATTAAGATTTGATTGGAATTTGTTTAATTTGTAATTGTTTTTTTTTTTTTTTTTATGTATACCGTAGCAGTTCTGCCGAGCGCTCTAGTTTCGTAATTATACCGACGGAATATTTATGATATTATTATGCGCACCGGTGCCGCTTGACACGCGTTCGTAACGACGTTACCGTCCCCGGTATTTGCTCAATAATAATATTAATAATTTGTCGTTTTTGTAAATATATAACTCGATGTATTAAAATATATGTCCGCATATTTGCGCATCGATTTCGTTGTCATCATTATATTTTGTCACTTGTCATTCGAAACCGGGGAATCGTATTCGCTGTTACGTATGAAAAGAAATGTATAATTTGTCGGTTAGTCCTGTAAACAATGAACGGCTAATAAAAACCAGGATAATGACTTTTTTTTTTTTAATAACTTTCGTAAGATGTATTTGTGTACAGAAGTATTGTTGCCGTGAATCGAATATTTTCAAATATACCTACTTTGAGAAAAAAAGAAATTGCTGTTTTACTTTTTAACAAAGGGTTTTCTCAGAAATAATCTAAACTCAACGAAAATCAATGCATCGTCATTTTTTTTTTTTTTTTTCAAAGAAATTGTATTTAACAAACTACTACTAGGTAAAAAATTCGGCTATTTTTACGTTGGTCATTAAACAAATATGAGCATTTTACTAATCTATACAATTTTTCCCGACACATTCGGAAGAAAAAGAAAAATTAAAACCTAAATAAACAATTGATTCAGTACTATAAACTATAGGCAATGATTTTTCAACTTAGTTGCAAGTTTTGAAAGAAATGACAAAACGAAAATATTCATCAGCAAGAAAACCAAAATAAAGACATTCCCCAGATGTTTATTAAATACCTAAATTTTAAGTTAATTACTATAAAGTACTATTATTGACGTTTGTTATGATATTGTGTACGGCGTCGTACCTGCTCGAGTTGTTGTAAAGAAAATAAAAATTACAAAAGTTTATAAATATCTGTTGCGAGTATGGAAAACAATAACAATACAAACATTAATAAACAACGCGTTAAATTGTTGTTGCTGTTATAAAGTTCGTCGTTAGAGAAAAACAAAATACACACAAAAGGTTTCGATCGAAAAAAAAATACATAATAATGCATAATACCTGCCTGCAGCATAGTAAATAATTATTATTGTAATATTATCAAAACTGCTGACAACACACCGAATCAATTTATTTACGCCATAGCTGTTCATGCACGTGTGCGTTTTGTTTGTACAATGGATACTATTTTAAAAAGTCAATTTTACTCTGCACCACGTGCGGATCACTGTTGTCGGTGGGAAAATCTGAAATACATGCCAGATCGGAATATAGAGCGATTTAGTTAACATAATATAATATTATACTAAGAGCAACAACGAAGCATATTATTGGAATTGAAAAAAAAAACTGATGGACATGCTACGCACCACGGGTGGGCCACTATTGTAGGTGAGAAGTTGGGAAGGTAGTATAGATAAGGGAATTTAATTTATATCTGTACGCAACGGTTAATCATTACTGACAAAAAACGATTCTGAGCGGAGTTCTGTTGATAGTGCTGCTTTGTTAACAATTTATATTTAATATGTCACATAATATTATGGTAAAATAATTATAAAACGATGTGCGTTTTCATGACAACAATGATGGTTTAAAAAATATTAAAATAATAAAAACTATTATAATAAATAATAAATAAAAACGGTTGCCACTGACATCCTTATTTTTAATTGTTTAATCTTTTTTAAACCTAAAGAACCAGTTTTCTTCACTATCTCAAATATAAATGAGAATTAAAAAAAAAATTACCTTTCTAAACCTTTGACTAGAAATTCGACAAAAAAAGTTTTTTGTCGTGTTTTCATTAAAACAAGATTTCTAGAAGAAAAGTTAACTTAATTAAGGTGATGGTCCTTTGATTTTTATTAAATTTGGTCATTCATTTTTTTTTTTATTAACTTAATGAATAACGAGCTTTTTTGAACCATACGGGCGTATCACGTTAAGTTAATTTAAATTTATTTTAATTTTAAAATAATATTTAATTTTAAATTCGTACTTTGTTTTAATACATAGTGTACAATGTACTTCGTTTAAAATCGCTTTTCATTAACAATGGTTTATTGTTGTGTACAGATGTAAATTAAATGGCTTTATATAAACTGGCTACATATTTCCAACTTTGCATCTATAAAACAGTGGCATACTCATCAAAAGTATCGGCAGCTCTTTTTCATTTAACTGAATATAGTTATTGTATTTATCAACATGCCCAGCATTAATTGTATTAAAAAAAAAAAAAAAAATGTTTTTCGGTATTTACGAACCGTTTTTTCAATACTATCCATGTACCGATTATAAAACTATAATGTTTAAAAATACACTCTCCTCGTTCAATATTTCCTAGTTATTAAATAAATCGCGAATTTCGTATTTTTGTTTGCTGCAAACTAACGGTTTAACAATTTAACTCTTCGTTTAATAGTTTTTATTTTTAATTTTTTTTATTATTATTAAAATCTGAGAATCTTTTGTTCGGGATTAGAAAAATAATATTTATCTTCTCTTTCCCGGATAGAGGCCAAAAGCATAATGTTTTTTGCAATTGCGTGGATAGATAAGTCTAGAAGAGGTAGAGACTTACATATAATTTTCATTGGGTTTTTTGTTTTTTTTTAGAAATTAATATCTAATGACGAAAGTTTCAACTTGTACCCGTTTACCCGTCAAAAGCCCGTTTTTATGAATGAAAAAATAAAAATCATTTAATTTACTTTTTAAATCTAAAACTCTAAATTTTTAGTAACTACAAAATGAAAACATCCACAAGTAACTATAGTCTTAACAAACAGTCCAATTGGTTTTAATTTTTAGTAGCAAAAAGATATTTGTTTATAGCCAATTCAAAAAGAGAATAAAATATTCAGTATACTATTTAACTGAATCCAATACTTTACGGAATAAGTCAGTATTATGAATATATTATCATAAAACATAATACAAATCCGGAACGATAAACAAATATTCAGAAAAAAAAAAATTATGTAATTTTTAATATATTTAAAACGTATGAATGTCAATTGAAATATTTCATACTCACAACAGCTCTAACGATATAATATTAATAAAACGAATTCGATCAAAAAATTCGAATCGTTTTCCAAACCGGGCCCGAATGACGATTGTAATAAAACGTATTGCGTTTGCAGATTCTTATTTCGAAATAGTTTTCGTTGACAGCGAATCGCACTTATATTTCGAGCAAATATGTAAACAATTGTATTTACTGTTTTTTTATTTATTTGTTTTTTTTTTTTTTTTCATTGACTTCAATATTATTATCATAATAACATTACATTATAGGTAGGCATACCGTCTGGACAAATATGTCACACGTGTCGATTTTCGGTAATTTTTTTTTTCGTTTTTCCGCGTTTACACTATACGGACGTCACAGCGATATCGCGCGTGTTGTGCAACACAATACACAATCCAGTTGTGAACATGCACAATTGCACGACATGTTTTTTTTTGCCTCCCGCGTTCTTTATGCGTACGTTAAATAGCGTTTTCATCTTGTTCGTGGTAACGTTCACCGTCGTGGTTTACTGCTCTATTATAAGTAAATATACAATCACAATACAAATATAAAATATTCTATATTATACCTGTACCTGTACATAATATTATTATTGTTATATCTGTTTTCATCGCATTCGTGGGTACGTACAGATCCGTAACGAGATTTCTCAACGCTTCTGGCCCAGGGCTGCTAAATACCTGGGCTTTATTGAAAAAAAATCTACCCAGTCGGGTTTCGTCGGATTTTTTTCTTCAATAAATGTCCAAAAACCCTCTCCACTCCTTTATCCAGAAAAAAACTCCGTCGGTTTTATCGTCAATTTAAAAGGAGTCATATTGCCGCCTTAACGTTTCATTCGTTATATTCCTAACTTTGCGTCTAACTCGGCTTCGGTATAGAGCGAATTTTTCCGACGTCCGGTCTCATACAAAATAATCTACAATATTTGATGAGTCATGAAAAGGCAGTCGAAACAGTTAAAATGCATAGATTATATTATATACATACCTAAACATCTCAGTCAAAACTTGAAAATTGTTTTTAAACTGTTAAGGAACATTGCAATGTAACAAATATTTACTTAAATCAGAGTTGAGCTTTTGAACAGCCAAATTCGTTTAAGTTAATCGAGTGGTTCCAACCCTAACCTATCTATTTGAGATTTAACCGTTCTGTGATCTTTGTTTAGATTATTTCTTAGCTGTTTACATTTTAGACATTTTACAAAAAGTTTAATAAACTTGTTTTATTTTTTTATTTTATAATAAATGACGTGTTGAGTATGTTCTTATTACTATAATTTAATTAATTAATTTGTTTATTCAATGGTAATACGTGTTGTATTGTAAATTGCAATACAATACAACGATTTTATTTTGTTATTATCGTAATTGCAAAGTTGTCTTGGTACTTATACTTGTAAACAATAATAAATAAATTGGCTTTCTAATAAAAGCGAAATTAGAAAAAAAGAATTCTGAAAAAAAGCCCGAGGATTTCATTAAATAAATATAAAGTGAGTTTAACCCAGACAAGTAGCCCGGATTGTTTCGGATTGGACTTTTTCGTGCCAACCCTCTGGCCGCACGAAAAGTGTCATGGCTTTTATTATTGCTTTCCTCCCTACTTATTTTTATTTCTATGAAAATTTTATGTTTCTAAATTATATATTCTAGATTTTACGCCCGTTCTGAGATGGTCCGAGCTAATCTTGGTGAGTTCTAGTTACGGCTATAAGTATACACTTACGTCGTGATTTTATAAGTTTGACAGTATTCTTCACAATTTGTTCGTTCAGTCGACATTTTATAGAAAATCCGAAACGTACCGTGTTACATATCTGACGATAAAATATTCGAGCAGCAACAATAATAATATTATATATATATACAGAATGTCCCACGATGGAACAGACCCATCTCGTGATCTCCTGAATTCATGAAGATATTTTCAATATGACTCGCTGAAATAAATATTACAAATATTCAATTAAGTTTTTATGTTTTCGTAAATGATTTTAAAAAAATAATTTTTATTTTTGAAACATTTAACGATAGCCATTTTATAAGGTTTGTTATTCTTAAAATACATAGCATTTAAATTTCATTATTTACATGACCCTGATTTGATTTTTTTTTTTTAATTTTTCTTCACAAAAAAATAGTTCTTAGATATTTTGATATTATCATAAAAGTTATTATTAAACAAAATCTATCAAAAACGAGATGAGATAATTTCGAAACAATAAAAACTTAAAACATCAATATTTTATCTGTACATTTTTCGAAAATTATGAAATAATGTTATTTTTTCGTTATATTTAACAAAATTCACAAAAATTTAAAGTTTTTATTCTTGTGATAAAAACAAAATTTGAACATATTTATTATCTCAGGAGATATCGCATTGGGTATACCTTCACGCCCTGAATACAATATATCGACTACACGCGTAGGTTATACAATATACAGGTATAACCTTCCTACCTGAACGTGTAAATATTTCAGAATTAATTCAAACCCAGTTGTCGACGTTTTAGTTGCGAATCCAAAGAAAGGCGAGTAATTCTTATACGCGTTTTATGTTCTTCTGTAAAAAAATAACGTACAAGTTAAATAATAACGTTACTAAAAATATGTATACACGTACTCTCGGTTTTATAAAAAAAAAAAATACGAGTACATTATTCATAGGACTATTTTTTTTAATTTGTATTTTCTATAGAAATGCAATGTTCTTCTATACCAGTGATTTTCAAATTGTGCTTTGTAGAATCCTATGGTTTCATGAAATTATATTAGGAACCCATACAAACTCTTACTAATGAAATTTATTTATTTGATAGTCGTTTTCACAAAACTAACCGAAGGGAGCTACAAATTAAAATTACCATAAATTTTTAAACAAAAAAATAATGTAACAAAGCTACATCTTTGAGAAAAAAAAAATCGAATTTTAATTGAGTCCGTTTCTTAAAGTAAAATTGACTGTTTTTCTCTATTAAAAGAATATTTAAAATCAATTTAGGAAATATTGATGAATTTGACGAAGTAAAAAACGAAATTACCATTCCTGGTTTTCGGTGCTCCGTACATTTTTTTTAACTACATAAAAGTTGCGTGAACAAAAAAAGATTGAAAAACATTGTTCTACACCAATGACGTATGAATTCGTTCGTACGATTCCAATTCTACAATAATAGTATAGGTAACTTATACAATTATAATTAATCAACGGTTTTTTTAGTTAAAAAAGTATTCCGACAGTTTAATTTGTTATAGTTAAAATGTCTTTACATAATATATTATACCACAATCATAAAATCATAAATTAAAAACAAAAATCCATTAAAACGGTGTACTTAATTGTATGTAAAAATAATAGTCGAATGGAGAAATGCTTATGGGCTTTATCGGATTTTGAGATGCGTGTTGTTTCGAAATGCGTGGCGTTAGTATCAGAAATATGCCTTTTAGAGGATTTAACTTTGGAACATTGCCATAATCATTTTAATGACCGGATTTCTCCATTATTTTTTTATATTTCTAAATAACTTGTATGTTTGAGTAGGTATAGGCTATACCGTATGGCAAAAATGACTGTTCTATAATTATAGGATTCGGTTATTTATTGATTTACAGAGAACATTTCTATATCTAGTGCATACCGGATGGTGTGAAATTCGACTCTACTGACGGAACTCTTTTAACGTGTCACTAACATATTCTAACATTTTAATAATGTTAATTTGTACATTTTATTTGCACTGTATTTTTGACTACGCCCGTTTTGTGTATCTGATATCAGTAGTGTACAGTCACAAACAATAAACCTATATAACATGTCTACCTATATGTGACTTGTGAATAACGCTCGACTATTTTAATTATATATATAGTTTGCTTTACTTTATCTATTGCGTTGCGTTCCTATCGGCAACATGGAATAATATGAGTTTAATTATTTACCATTTAATTTAAAGAAATTTGCATTATTCCCGATAAGGTCGTTAATGAATAAGTATTACGAACAAAGGCCATTTGATTTAGGTCTTGGGGGTGTATTAATTTATTTTAAAACGGTTATTCTTTATGGCCGTGCAAGAATACTCGAAAAATAATTTAAAATAGCGTATAATACATACAGGGTTAATTAAGTATTTTAAAATATGCAAATGGGGAATCCAGGGTTATGCAAAGAATCTTGTTGTTTTTTTGATAAAAACAAAAAAAAAAAAAAAAAAAAAATAAAAATGAAATGTTTCTCGAGAAAAATGTAAAAAATATCAAAGCTGAACAAGTTAGTAAATAATATAGACTTACCTCTGTTAAGGTAATTGAAAAAATGTTAATGAGTTAAAAGCGTAATTATTAATTAATCGAATCGGGTTAAAAGTCGGCTTAAAAATTGAATCGACTTATTATCTAAAGTTATTTTGTTAGAGTTTTTATTTGTTTTGTCGATTTGTTTGGATAAACATAAAACATTGTCATTTTTTGAAAACAAGAATCATCAGTAATGCATCTATTAATGTTGAACATACGACGAAATCAATTAATGTCAATAATTATACTCATCGTACTATACGTACATTATTAAGTAAACAAAAACATGTTTATACGAGTATAATACTACGTACACACTGAATATAAAATTGTATTAGGCAATGTATAGATTTTAAAAGCAATTCTTGTTGAAATCGACTTAACGTGTTATAATTCGAAATAACCTCGGTTATACACTCATTGAGTTGATATAAATTAAAATAAAATAGTAATTCAATTACAATTACAAATAGTAAGACAACTTTTGAAAATATTTACACAAATTCTATAAACTATAGGTATAAAAATCGATAATTATTTTTATTTTGTTCTAATGTGATCGAAAATATTATTGAAATTAATTGCATTATTTGTTTGTCCTGACTGTTTTTTATAAATATAAATGGGCGGCACCAAAAACTCAGATTCGATACTCGATACCTATACTCGATTCTCGATAGGTTTGTATCAAAATAGAAACATCATAAGGTATATTAATTATGAACATTATTAACCATTACACAAAAATTATCTAAAGTTTCGATAGATGTCCGTCATTCACGCCGCCATTGCGCATCGTCCGTCCCTAGTGTTAACATTGACGAGCAACAAGGATAAACGAGAATTTTTATTTTTTTTTTCGCTCCGTACACGCAGATATGCCTACCATCATCAAAACCGAGACTTACGAAGTGGACGCCACCGCGGACGACAGCATCAGCCGTCACAATAACCAGAAGATTTCAGATAATATATCCGGCGATATAATAACAGGACACCGCGAATACCGGCCGATAGATCAGTCGGACGATATCAATAATTCGGACGAATATTAAAACATATATAAAAATATATATATATTATTTTATTGTGATGATATATGTTTTTTAAAAAAAAAAAAAAAAAAAATTAAAAACAACAACAACAACGGTTGGATACAATGCGATATACAATACGCGTAATTAGCGGAACACGTTGTTTTTTATTATTATTATTATAAAGTATATGGCAATTTTTTTATTATTATTTTTTTTTTTTTTGTAATAATAACGTAATAAGATGGTGTGCGTGTGTATTACGTAGGGCAACTATTATTATATTATTATATATTATGTACGTAGGTATATAGGTGGCACGCATTTTTCTCATTACCTAGCCGCGCTGCACACATTACTCGACCATCAAAACGGCTTAACGGATTGTTGAAAAACCCTTTTCTTTCGCTATATAGCAGCCTGTAATTTACACACAAACGCGGCCGTTAAAACGAAAAAAGAAAAAGCGTCCACGCCATGATACTATACCTATAATATAACCTACCTGTATTATGTAAGAGCTGACGATAAAAAAAAAAAAAATAATAATAAATATTTAAACCCACACACCCCGACTACAACCCGATGTCATGGAAAAATTGTTTAATATTTTATTATTAATAATCCCTCACAGAGAGTTCATTAAACGTCACTACAAACTATATTATAGCGATTTAACGATAAAAAATGTATAAAATAAAAAAGTTAGTAGGTATATATTATTATTATTATACAAGGTGGAATGGTATTACAAAGGTGCAGGTTATTGCGAAGTAAATTCGCCCACTTATCAGGTGTAGATAATATTGTTTTATTATTTCGGAACGTGTTTGTAATAAATGTTTAAAATGTTGTGACTTGTATTTAAAATTTGTAAAATTTCACAAAAATGTTAAATACCTTGGTGATTTTAATAAATATGTAATATTATTTTATTATTATCATCCGGACTTGTCGTTTCACAATCATTAAGTGTTTAGACATAGTATGTTAATTTTACTAATTGTTTGAAGACGGACAACAATACCACCTTCATAATATTAATAAGTGAGAGTAATAAGCATTTATTATTATTATAAACATTTTAGCATTTCAATAGGTATTTAAAAGTATTTAATGGCGTTTTAAAACCACGTTAGTTTAATAGTAACAATGTATTAGATTTTTTTCAGCACTCGTCATCACAGTTTAGATTCGAGAACGTTATTTTAATAAGAAGCGGGATGTGTATTGGTTTTACTAAAATGTACACGAATTTTCTGTCTGTGAACAATTTTCCTATCAGAAATATTGCTCCGAACAAAATATGCGGTAATATTTCTTTTTGTTTTTTGAATTTTTGATTTAGTTGGTTCGTTGGGTGATCATTTTTAGATTTTCAAAGCGGTTTTCTTAATAATCGGAAAAAACCGAGAAAAAATAACGTATATAAAAAAAAAAAAAAAAAAAAAACGTAAAAAATCAATAATATAATGCACGACTGTACATTTATTTGCATTTGTACACTGTTGATTTCAGCTAAATTTTCGTAAAATCAGTAAAAATGGATTGGAGAATTGTTGCTACTGGGAAACCAAATAGGATTACTTCGATATATTTTCCATTTTACGCTGGCAATTTTTCGTTTAAATTAAATTATTAAGATTAAATTTTAAAAAAAAATGTACATTAATAATTTCATTAACATCTGTTAAATCTGTAATCAAAAGATATCATAATAGACAAGTTTATAAGTTAATACCGTTATAACATAAAAATAATATTTTACGGACGCAAAAATGTAAAATCTAAATATAAAAAAAGAAAAAAAGAATAATGTAAATCGTAATAATATTATCCTTATAATAATGGCCGCAAAAAAAAAAAAAAAAAAAAAAAAAAAAATACTAAAAACGAATTTATTTAAAATCTTCGTGTAATAATATTAAAATCATACGGCTAAAGTGAAAAAAAATAAAATAAAATACCTCACCGTATTATGTAAAGTTAAAGTGGGTAAATTCAAACACGCACGTAAACATAAAAATGTTCGTATTATGTAGACGTAAATGTTGGTACTTGTATTAAGTTTAAATTAAAACGAATTTCGAATAATGCAAAACATAACCTTAGATATTATATATATGTGTATATATATATATAATATATCTCCCGCCATGCAATATATTATTAATATTCGTATTATCGTGGACGCTCCAGTGACGTTTCACCGAAACGTGGAATAAAACATAATGTGCTGTTTATACGCAACTGCTAACGTCCCGCGTTCCTGAGTTTCGTGCGACGTGTACACCGTGTCGCTTTGTTAACGCCGCATCAACATTCAACATTAACGTGACGTAAACGTTTGAAAAAAAATATTATCGTAATGATATCCGGTACAGATTAACATTGTTCCTAGTTCACACCTCCTTTGGAACATTTCCAATTGTCACGTTATTGTGATTAAACGGTAAAATAGTTGTTTGTGGACAGAAACAAAATCATAGTGAAACCAACAAATTGATCGCTACGCTCAGAATCTAAATCAACTACTATTGAATACCTCCCTCCTCTTCATTTTAATAATTGCTTCTGACATTTTCTATAACTCATAATTTCCCAGTTAATAATTACTTTCTTAACAAAAAAAAAAAAAAAAAAACGTGTGTCTACCTATGTGCCAACGGTCATTAAATATTGTTGGATTTCTTCTGTAAAATTTTTAGAATATTTCAATTGAAATGACCCTCGTGAGAACGAAACGGTACAAAATTGTTATGTGCAGATTTATTCGACACGGGAAAATTAATTTTAATAAATACAAATATTACAGATTTTGATTTACGACTTGTTATTTTTTATTAAAATATAATTAAGACAAACAGTTATTTTACAAATATATTTAATGTTACGACCGGCTTGAAGCCATCCATTTAAAATCAAGTGAAACGCGTCTGTCGATTCTTCATACCAAATCCCATTTTATATGGCTGCTTGTGGATGACTGATTCTGTGTGACTACACTTGTCTAAGTATACCAAAAATTAGACCTGTCCAATGACGCAAATGATTTTCCTCAAAGTTGTCATCGCTCATCAGGCATCTAATATGCGGTAAGTTAAGGCAGGCTCCTGCTTATAAACATTTTAAGATTTTTTCCATTCCTTATAGTTTCCACATGAATATAGCACAATAAACAATACACCTAAACCAACCTTTATTTAGCTAGTTCAGCAGTTTAAAGTGAACGCCAACCCCCAATATAAAAAATTGCATTTTTATTCTTATGTACATTAGATTATTGATTGTCACCAGTCACGTGTGTTGAGTTTACACGTTCAATTTTACTTATGCAAATCGATTTACGAAAATCTGATTTGCAAAAATATTTGAACGTGTAAAACTGATATTTGTACAAAAATTTGATTTGAGCAAATGACTTGCGTGAATTCCAGGATTACCTTAAAAAAAAAAAAAAAAGAAAAAAAACTGAGGTTGATTATTACAAATTAAAATGTCATTTGAACGTGTAAACGATTATTCAAGGTTTGCGTAAGTATTTTGGTCATAATAAATACAATTAAAAAATGTACTCTTGATGGATTAGATCAATTGATAGCTGATAATACAATACAACTTAACTGTAATAATATCAAATGATTGTGTACAAATTTGAACGTATAGACGTATTATACTTGAGTGATTCGTAATTTGCACAAGTATATTTGTGCAAATTTGTGCAAATTTTCACAGGTAAAACGGAACGTGTAAACCTACCTTTATTCTAATGATTGTTGAACGTTGTAGTACGATATACATTGTAGCAATAATAAAATAAACTTACAATAGCATAAAATGAACATTTATAAACGATATGATAATATCATAATGAATGATCACCTAGCATAAAAAAGCTTGAAAAAAATGTTTATGGTATCCTAAAGAAAACAGAAATCTTTTAATATGTGCGTTTTGGCATTATAAACAATTTAGTCATTGAGTTTACGGTTATATATTCTGATTCGTAGACTAATACTGAATTGCCGAAACATACATTTTTAAATATGGTTACTAAAATACTTGAAAACACAATCTTGAATAAAACAATTTAACTTGAACCCTGAATCATAATATTTTTTTCTCGTTTTTTTTTTTCTTTTTTTCGTCATACTAATATTATTAACATTGATATAATGATGGACATAATAGATGATGATAATTTAACAATATTGTGATCATGATAAAAACTTTAAAATGCTTGTGAAAGGCTTTTTTTGGCTCGTAGTCTTAGAATATTATTGCTGTGGCTATAGTTGATCTAGATTTTAGTGGTATGTTGAAAAAAAAAAATGCTTATTAATTTTAAAAATGATCCACATTATACTTGTATTTCGCCAGCGATTCCATCGGTTTGCTGTCAAATGTCTTATTAGATGACTGGATTAATAAGTATTGTGATTATTACTAAATTTTACGCACATTCAAGCACTCTAAATATCACGGCAGGCATTGATATTGAGCGTGATTACTATATTAGTTTACATGGAGTGCCCTATTTTCCCAAATTTTCGTGGAGAAATTTGAGCATCACATTTATATTTTGAACACGTTTCGTGAACAGCCCCATTGTCACAACGAAAACGAATTATAATTAATTACAAGACGCGGTATTACTGTTTTATATATATACACACACACCTTACATATATACAATGTGTTTAAATAGTGTTTGATAAAACCACAAAGGCTTTACGTCTTGCGTTTTTGCCATGATTTTATGATTATTTTTCATTTATATACTCGTATATGATTACGAGACACCGCAATTCGCGTGCAAGACTTGTTTACAGTGTTATTATTATTATACTACATAGTTATGAATTTGTTTTGTAAATTGGAAATTTTCTAGACTAAACTAAAAAAAATACAATATATAATATAAATTCACACACTTCTTGTATAATAACACCGATGGTGGAAAATTATTGTGTCCCCTAATTAACCGTGAACGTTAATATAAGCCATCGACCGCCGACGGCTGCTGCAGCGTTTTAGAATGATGAAATCTCGCAATGAACATATTAGTATTATTATTATAAACGCGTCTGGCAGTACTTAGACAACTACAAACGCAGATTTTCCGAGTGCTGTCTTATGAGTCATAATATTATAATTGCATAATTATTTATGACATTCAAACGTGACACGAACGCGAATCAGTATCTCAATATTGTATATTGCGTCCCTGTATAGGTGGCACAGTATATTAGCTTTTTTTTTTTTTTTTTTAGAAATTTTAAGGATTATCGGAATATTCTTCCTTTTTTTTCTTTTTTTTTTTTTTAGCTAGTTATAACCATTTAGTATTTCTCCGGAGTATGGACCGTATTTTCCTGGAAAATAAAAACCAAAAATCGCATTTTTCTGGAAAGTAACCAGACTGTATATCACCGAAATGTATTTCCCTGGAGTATAAAACTAAAAAAACTATTAATTTAGAATTTTTAATATCAATACTCATTCCGGAATTACACGTTCTTGAAAAATATGTTTTTTTTTTTTTTAGATTCCGGGTATATACTTATGGTCCAAACAATAAGTTTCCGAGATATACTTTCCGAACAAATATGGTTTTCAATTTTCAGTTTCCGGGTGAATAAATACATTCGGGATTTATACGTCCCATCCATTTACAGATATAAAAATACAGAAATACAGAAAATAAAGAGGGTGAGGAAGTTAAAATGTAGAATATAAATATGTAAGAACACGAAAATTAAGAAAGAATATTTAAAAGGTAATTTTTTTTTTTTTTTTTTTCAATATTTTAGGACCTTCGTTAAAGTTTAACTAGATTAACAAGATCAGTTTTGGTGCGAATTGAAATATGACTTGCCAAACATCAGGTTACACAACAAGGTTACCATACTGATTAGGACGTGTTAATAGCGTTATCAATTTGAGAAACATGATGAGGCGTGAATCATTTTAAATACTTTTAAGTTTATTGATTTTTAAACTCAATTGGTGAAGAATTAGAGTCAAAATGAAAAACTAATTTAATTTCTAAGTTTACCGTGTTCAATACAATAAGATTCGTGGATCAAACATTTTTTTTTTTTTTTTGACAACCCCCATTGGGTACTCAGTTTAATAATATAAAGTTATTATCTTCTTCCTGATGTTTGAAAGTTTCCGCCGTTTCGGTGTCGTTGTGAGTCGGGGAATAGTGACGAGATCAATAAATAAGGAATACAATTGTCTTACCTACTCCCAGTATTGAAACGATAGAGTTATCGGTAATTTTCCTCGCGTGTTCCTGGAATTGTTGAACGGCAGTGACAACTCAATTAAAATATTCTAATTTAAGTACTTAATACTCCGACATTACATGCATTCAGATAACAAATGTGTTAATATTTAAATAAGGATGGAAAAAGGTCGAACCATTAAAACAGATGTACAGCACATTATACGCGAGTGATTAGCTGCTCAAATTCGGAGTTTTACGAAAAAGGTTGGTGGTGAGTAAAACATGTTTCATATAGGGTGCTCGAAACACTATGAAATAAATCGTTATATTTTACGAGTTTATCAGACCCAGTTGGCCTTCGCGTCGGCGCCCATAGAAGATAATCCGTTAGCAATAAAATTACATTGACTCGAGTTGTGTAACAAAAATTATAAAAGTATTTGGGCCATGACCGCGACGGCGGCGATGTCATCAAAGGGCTGATCGGCGTCGTTAATTTACATTTTATTTCACCCGTATCACAAATGTTTCGGTTGTAAGAAATATGCGAATCCCTCTCGAACTCCAAGTGACCCGTTATAATTACCGTATAACGAATTTTTCCTAATATAAAATACTAAGTAATCGGCCGTATTTGAATCTTTCATTCACACCGTTGTAAATATAAATAATTCGCTGTTCCGCCTGTCATTGTCCGTGCCGAAAGAAGTGATAAAAAAATTATCATTATGCTGTTACGATCCTTTGCACAAACTACCTTATTATTTATTTTTTTGTTTTGTTTATTTTAACTTTTTATTATTTCATCTGTATTACCGAGGTAACCAATAAATCAACAAAAATAATTCGATTTTCAAACTAAAAATACCCTAATAGTTACCACAGTAACCCTGTTTAACCCGTTTAGGTTTTTTTTTTTTTTTGGTCAAAAGGTTGCTTGTGTCCATTCTCGGGAGGCAATCCAAATCCTTGGCAAATTTTATCCAAATCCTTTTAGCGGTTTTATGACTAAGTATAACAAACCAATAGACTCACTAGCATTTATAGCATTAGTACGAATTATTTATACAGATTTACAATTTTGTGTGATAATAACTGTATAATTATTTTAATAATAAGGACGCATTATAAAATAACTATAGCAACTATAATATAGTGTAACGACCACATTAGATTATCAATAGTTAATTTGTTCATTATTCAGGAAATATTTACATTTTAAATAATAGATTCTTATACAATGTCAAGGAATTAAAAGAAATAAACGAATCGATGAATAAATGATAATTAAACTATTCACCAAATCGTCTAATATTCAGCGTTAGTTGTCATTTGTCAATTGTCAGGTCGTCACTAACAATCTCTAAATAGTATAAAACAGTGTCATTAATCGCTGTTGCCTGTTTGTGCGCTTAAGACTGTTCTAAACTACGCAACAGACTTTAACGCGGTTTTCTCTATCAATTAGAGAATTTCTTCCAGAAGGTTTATTTACAAATATGTACATTATACATGCATATGATACTTATAAAAGACGATGGTTTATAATCAAATAGTAAAAAAAAAAAATAAATATTTCCTGGCACTTACGTCGTTGCTAACGTTAGCTAATAAGCCTTATGAGAT